ACAGTTCACCTGATGAAGGGACCTGGAATGGTCTCGAAACGTTGTGAGAGAAATTTAAAAAGAAGTTTAATCCATAAAAAATATCTTGGACAGTAGAAAGTAGTTTTGATTTTGTAACTCGGTGAAAACAAACCTAAATAGCATTTATCCACAGACTGGCGGATGTTCCCGACAGGGCGCCGCCATTTTTGAAAATCGTAAAGTCTGTTAGAATTAATGAGATTATAGTTTGTTTTCATCAAGTTAGAAAATCAAAACTACTTTCTACTCGTAGTTATATATGTATTGGAATCATAACCAAAAGGATTTTGCATGACACAACTTATAACATAACGATTTCTTCCACGGAAGCGAGGTGGGGGTCGAAGTCACAATACTGCGCGATAAATTTCTTGCTACATTCACATGGTTAATGTCCACTCACCAGTATGTAGATACTAGTCAATGTGCGTCTTTATATTTGGTCTTATAATCCTAATTAGTTTATTATCATACTTTTATGCATTTTGAAACTAAATACAAAGCTGACGATCTGCTGATACTTATAGTGAATTTATAACAGAACTGTAATATCTAGACATTTTATAGTTTGCCAATGTGAATCATAATTCGCACACACACCCTAGTGTATGTTGTCTGTCTCATTACGCTTCACGGCGAAAACAATGATTCTGTTGATATGCTACGACAAATGAATAAAAAACAAAATGCAAATATTAAAATTAAAACAGATTAAAGTTATAGGAACAATATCAGGCCATTACCTTGTTTGAGGAATGTATCCATCAATATCCACAAAACTGTTCCAAATGATGTGTCTTTTAACAGTTTAATATACGAAAGAGTGATAAATCTTTTCAGGTATTGGTGTATAGTCTCATTGGTCACCCAAGATAGCACACCTGGCAACTAATTGCATAATGTCCGCCTTTCATTAAAAACAGTAATTTAGTTAGCCAATAATGGGCAATCAATCAATGTATTGCCGGTTAATCCTTTGAAAGAAGGACGTTGTTTTTACGCAGACACCGACACGACAGAGTGTATTCAGTATAGATTAGTAAATCTACATACATAAACACTACCTTTTGACAATTCCGCTGTGTAAGATAAAAGTAATTAATCAATCAGCGTGTTATCGGTTAATCCTTTGATCGATGTTTATAATGTTGAATATTTACTCCAGACACAAGAAATGCCAAATGGGAACCTTTGTCGGGTAATCTAAGTGTGTTACCACTAATTATACCTGTTATAAATTCATTAACTGACCATCAAGTGAATGATGACAAATAACATGTGTAGGTTTATACCACCTAACACGGGTTACAACAAGGGAGTATTAATTGCTGTATTGCATGTGAAAACTTATGGGCCGACACTGTTTTGAGAATACAAACAGATTTTTACATGACATGATTAAATATCGAGGTAAAAAAACACAGAAATGGGATCAATTTAGATCAGTCATTATACAAATAGGGCCTAACGACACCAATCAATTGTGACAGAAGCGTCTATGAAAACAAGTTGTAACTCGGAAACTAGGCAAAGCAGGAGACAAAATTAAATGCCAGTAGATTGTGAGAACATATAACTTTCATTTTCCACAACAATTGTCACGATTTCAGGTTTATACAAGCCTGTAAACAAGATAATTTACCCCCCTAAAATGTAGATGAATTCTGCATCGGCCCTCAAAGCTATTCCTCATATGACGTCACAGAGTCGCGCCGCTCTGATTGGTTGAAATTTCGTTCGCGGGTGAGAATTGTGCACTGTTGTCAAAAAGGTCGATTTAAGTCAATTAAAGGTCGAAATGAGTAGTTTTAATGACGGTGTTTCATTTATAACGATGCCAGTTAGTGATTTATGTATTTTTACCCCCTAGGGTTTATGTGACCTCTAAGCTATCCATCGTCACGCATACTATCGATGCATTGATAGTTTTTCGTTTCTACAATCGATTAATTGCTATCGGAGACCCAACAGTTTCAATCCACCGATAGTTCGATACAACGTTATAGCTCTATGTGCACACTGTGTGCATAAATTTAGTATGTATGTATGTATGTTTGTATATGTGTGTGTGTGCGCGCGCGCGTGCGTGCGTGCGTGCGTGCGTGCGTTTGTATGCATGTAAAATAAAAAATATTCATTTATATGCCTGTGAAACATTCTTAGGTGTGAAAATAGGTACGTCTAGCCTGATGGTATATGGTGAGTGTGGTCGGTTTCCACTTCATCTACACTTAAAAATTTGGGTTATCAAATACTGGTTAAGACTTCTTGATATGCCTTCATACAGACTCAAAAGAAATGCTATAATATGATGTTACTTTATGATAAAAATGGAAAGATAAACTGGGTTACTGGAGTTAGAGAGTTACTTTTCAGTAGTGGTTACGGACAAGTTTGGCAAAATCAGAATATGTATTCAAAATCAAATGTTGTATTGTCATTAACACAAAGGCTAAAATATATGTATATACAGACATGGACTGCTTCACTGGCTTTATCAAATAAGTGTTTTTTATTACAAACTATTTAAATCACAAATAATTCAGGAAGATTACCTTTATAAGATTACTGTTAAAACGCTCTTTCCCGTTTTAGATGTTCCTCCCTTGATCTTTTATTGAAACGGGACGTTATAAAAACATTAGTCGGGACCAAAGAATTTGTAATGTTTGTAACTTAACTTCAGTTGAAGATGAGTATCATTTTCTGCTTGTATGTCCTGTTTACTTACATCTGAGAGAAATATATCTGCAACCCTATTACTTTACATACCCAAATTTAACTAAATTTCATTTATTGTTATCAAATACAAATGGTAAAGTTCTGCAAGATTTAGCTATGTTCATTTATCATGCCTCCATGTACAGAGTTAACATAAATGCAAAATGAGTCTGTAATCTAGCTGGATAAGCTTTTACAGTTCTATTTAAATTTTTATACTATGTCTGCTTGTATATTTTGTATTGTAATGTACTATAGGCCTGTGGCCTTATTAAGTACTGAAATAAACATAACCTAAAAATATTGTGTGCGAGTGTGAGAAGGGGTATTTTATGTTGGTTTGGGCGATTTACTGTTTTCATGTGAAAAACGCTATATGATTGTTTGATTATCGAATGCTTTTGATTAACCCCAAGAACGCATAAGTAAAGTCACGGCTTGGTGAAAATCAGCGTCCATGCATGGTGGTCATGCCGAAAGGAACGGCGCAAAAGGAAGCTGCGAGACATAGCTCATCGTCAAGGCACAGTATCATTTCCATGGTGGGGACACGGTCTACAGCATTGTCAATACTCATGACATTCCACGGGCCAGACATCGACGTGCGACGTCACGTCAACACGTCAACCATATTGGATTCATACGTTTCCAGAGTAGATACGTATAGACCCTGTACTGCCACATAAGACCACGAACAATTCCCGGGCTGAGGCCAGTATTAGAGTCAGAACCTTACTTCCAGTGGCCGACATTTGATTTGGCCAGCGCCATGAATGTGGTTATTAGGGACTCGGGGCAAGTCAAGTCTCATGACGGAAACTCCGCTAATAGCTGTGCTGATCACTTCCATTCACTATCATTTTGCCAGGAAGTGTTATATTGTCGGAATTCGTACTTTGCATTTTTAGGTTAGGGGAATCGATGACGCTGGGCAAGAGCAGGTCTAAACTGGGCCCCGTCTTTCATATCGTAATATACGCCTAGTTAGGTTTGCGCACATTGATGGCGTGTAAAGGGAGCCGGGAACCAGTTTAGTAGTCTCGGTGGCAGCGAAACACTTCTTCTTAACTAAGCTAGGTCCGTCTGTCATATTGCAATCAAAATGTAGCTGTGGCGCAAGCTGACGACGCGCAAAGGGAGCTGGAAACCAGTTTAAGAGCCCCAAGATAAAGACGAAGACGGCATTTGCCGAACCGGATCCCCCGTTCCGGACTGTTGTAGACTGGGTAGTACAATCAAGCTCTGTATTACGCTTACATTTAGCATGTGCATTTAAGTGAAAATCTGTATCTGGCTGTGTAATTCATTATAAAGTTATAGCTATATAACATTGCATCTTTTCAGATTCAACAGAGTGCTGTATTCAGACATACAGTCATGGAAGCTCAGCATAGATCTATCCTTCGTAGTCTGGAAACTTCTGGAAGCGTCTGAATATACATAAGGGGGCCGCCCCATGCCTCTGTCCTCACACATAATGTCCAGACCAGCGGTTGTGCTGTCATAACTACCATCGTAACTTACCCGACCCGTGAAGATCCGGGGTAGAATAGGTCTTCAGCAACCCATGTGCTTGCCATAAAAGGCGACTATGCTTGTCGTAAGAGGCGACTAACGGGATCGGGTGGTCAGTTTCGCTGACTTGGTTGACACATGTCATCGGTTCCCAATTGCGCAGATCGATGCTCATGCTGTTGATCATTGGATTGTCTGGTCCAGACTCGATTATGTACAGACCGCCATATAGCTGGAATATTGCTGAGTGTGGCCGTAAACAACCATCCACCCAACTATCGTAACTTACTGCCATCGAATATGTTTACTGCTTCTCTTACGCGTTGATGTTGTACCAACTTTGCACCCATTTGTATAGATTTGCATTTGTTACTTGTCTAATACAACTGTTAATTACATAACATATCTTTCTTACATGAATGATTGTACATACAGAGTTAAGGGTTAACTTACAGTTTCAGCTTGTAGAACAACAAGTAACAAGACGACCAAAAGGCTTGTAGTGTTACATGATATGCGTTTGCTCAGTGGTCAAAGCCCCACGAGTGTGTCTTCGAACAGGTACCGATATTGGTCCCCACGGCCCTTTTGTGTGTTTTGAAAAGCCCAGGTTCATTTTGAAATGAGGTACGTCCCATTATTGTTCAATTTCCATGCTGCTTAGCGACAAAACCATAGTTCGGGAGACTATGGTTTCCGATCCTGCGCACCTCGCTTCCGGTCCGTTCACAGGTTACCTCGGTTGTAGTGTCATGTATGCCGGGTGTCAGGTTTATCTGTAAGGAGACACTTCACGGGGATGTCTACAACGGCCCTACAGTGCCCCTTTACGGAATAGAACCGAGGCTCCCTCTCCTGTTACAGTCTCCCCACTACTATACTGTAAACCATTGCCGAGTTTGCTGACGATTTAAGGTAGGTAGTTCTGCTTACAGTTATAAGCCTACCGAGAATGACGAGTTTTATGACAACAAACCCCACCCACCCACCCCAGTACATGACGGAGACCTGTCCCGTCTTTGCGGACTGGACTAGACTAACGCTTAGTACATATATAATTTTGATAGTAACAAATAAACATTTAAAAGGAACCCCATCGCTGCCCCAGTCAGATGGAAAATTCAGAACCCGGAAAGGTCTAGACTTGCTTCATTTAAGGCTTTAGCATTGCAGTGAGGGACAGACTAGGGAATATAATGTGGTTCAGGGACTGTGAGACAGACTAGTAGTTTCCTTGACAGCAAGGGTATCATAAATCATCTTCAGTCTCACCAGCTAAACCTGTTGTACGAGGCAGACATGTCAACCAGGCGGTGTTTGCTAAAGTACACGAGTTTTAATCAGCAACCTACATTAGCAGCAGGTGTCCGTCTCGCCATAAAACCCATTACAGCAATTTATGAATATGGTAATTGTGATGAATATTGTACTAAAATGTCACCTATTTTATACATTGCTCAAAACTTAGTTTGACTCAGATTTTCGAGGGCTGTAGGTAGCGCAATATTACAGCTATATGGCGGCGGTATGTAAATAATTGAGTCTGTACCAGACAATCCAGTGATCAAAAGCATGAGCATCGATCTGCGCAACTGGGAACCGATGACGTGTCAACCAAGTCAGCGAGCCTGACCACTCGATCCCGTTAGTCGCCTCTTACGACAAGCTATTGCAGAGTGCGACGTAAAACTAAACTCACTCACTCACTTACGACAAGTATGAGTTACTGAAGATCAATTCTAGTAGTTGTCTGAAGACTACATCCCAGGACTCGTGCACTGTTGAACCTAAACATGGCCCGTTCACGTTGGTGATTTGTAAGTTATGGCATACACGCTTTTGGAATAAATTTGCAATTTCGATATGGTTTCCTGTTTATGATCACGTGACTCGCTGACGTGATTGGCATGTTTCACGTTTCTTTTAAGCATTCAAATCTGTTAAAACAGCCAACATGCTGTGTATGGCACAAGAAACTAAGAGAATCACCCACAATTGTTACCAATAATGTGGATGTCAAGGTTCTAGTTTGGGTGAGTATAGTCAACCCCGCTGTCTCGAACGCGTCGGGACCAAGGGAACAGTTTAACTTATCCGAGTGTTCGACAAATCCGTCAGCATAGAAATAATGATAAATAAAAGGAAATCGGCGGGGGCCGAGAGATGAGTTTAACACAACCAAGAATTCGTCTCAAGCGAGTTCGAGACATTGGGGTTCGATTCAATATATGATGCTCACTGTATTGAGTTAACGATATTATCTGTTTTGATTATTCATAACGTTTAAACCAAGGACAGTCCACCGCCCTTGGGTGCTGTTGGGCGGATTACGCTCTGAAAGCTATCCAATACAATGAATTAGACGTCTAATTACCGTTTGCACGTTTTCATGAAAAGCTACGGAGAGAGGCAAATGTAGCGTAATTACTGTATTACTGACAGTAAGGCCTGCAGTCCACCGCTCACATTCAACACGGGGGTCTCATCACAGGCAGCTGGTCCTCCCCAATAGACGCCATCGAGTGGAGTCATCTTACTCACACAGGGTTGCTCTTTGTCAACTATCCAGCTTTCTCTTTTTCCTTCTCACGTAAGGTAAGTCAATAATATCAAATTTCATCTTGCCGAATTGGGGTGGGGTGTAGTTGTTGTGTGTGTGTGTGTGTGTGTGTGTGTGTGTGTGTGTGTGTGTGTGTGTGTGTGTGTGTGTGTGTGTGTGTGTGTGTGTGTGTGTGTGTGTGTGTGTGTGTGTGTGTGTGTGTGTGTTTTTTAGCCTAGTGGTTAAGGCGTTCACTCGTCAAGCCGAAGACCCGGGATCGATTCCCAGCATGAATTCGAGGCAGTTTAACACCGATTCTGATTAACACCAGAAATGGGCTTCACACATTGTACCCATGTGGGGAATCAACTGGAGTCTCTGGCGTGACGAGCCAACGATTTAATCACAACACAACCGCCTCTGGTAGCACCATAACTCATTGGACAACTCATCATTGTTGATGGCAATTTGAATAACGTACTCTACTGCGACGACATTGGTCTAGCTGAACGACTACCCTTTATCTCGGGGCGGTAGTCTAGCACACACACGCGCGCACGCACGTGTCCCAGGCTGTGTTCAGCCAATTGTTGTCCATGCACACCCGATATTGGCGTCACACCTAATATAGACTTTACTAATTAATTAGTTATACGTTACGCCATCTCTCATTATGAGTGTGTCTTTCTGTCTCTCATTACGAGCCATTATATTACTACGCGGGGCGTTAACTAACAAACTAAGTACACACACGCGGAGGGGCAGACACGGTGTATCTGTAAAAGAAGGATATTGTTTGAGTGATAGTGTTGGTAAATGCGAAAATAGTTATATTACACAGACATAGATAGGTTATTCTCGAAAACCACCAGCGGTGGTACATGAGACAATACAAAATTTACGGGGCGGTGGGGTAGCCTAATGGTTAAAGCGTTGGCTCGTCACGCCGAAGATACAGGTTCGAAACCCCACATGGGTACAATGTGTGAAGCCCATTTCTGGTGTCCCCCGCCGTGATGTTGCTGGAATATTGCTAAAAGCGGCGTAAAACCACTCACTTACAACATTTACAACAATAACTATGATGAATAACAAGATGGGGGAATTTACACTGGCTCATTAAGTTAACACACCAACACTTATATAAAATATATCAAGTATACAGATATTATATACAAAGACCCCACATGGGCACAATGTGTGAAGCCCATTTCTGGTGTCCCTCGTCGTGATGTTGCTGGAATATTGCTAAAAGCGGCGTTAAACCAAACTCAGTCAGTCAGTATATACAAAGGTCAGTATAACATTGTCAAATAGAATTTCATTTTTAATCGTTTTGATATAATATAAATAATTTTTGCGAGGTAGCGCTATATATTAGTTCTAGAAGTAAATAATTTCGCCATCTCTAGTGGATTGGGCCATTGCACATATTTAAAAGGATTTAGTTAAGATCGGTCTAGCGTAACAACGCCAGTGTTTGGGGAGTCAGCTCGCTTGGCAAGAGGTACCACTATACCAACCCACAACTACACAGGACCTGAGTAAATACACATGTGTTTATTAGACAATCACCGACTGACTATCGTCCGTATTGCATGTACATGTATATACCTATCCCAGCTATCACAGATACTCGCATTTACTGATTCAACTCACGGTAAAGTTGCTATTGAGAACGTAGGAGTACAACATTTAGTTTGACTGAAGCATCGATGATAAATGTGTACAATGGATGACCAATTGTTCCCCCTTTTGGAAAAATCCTGGATCCGGCCCTGCTGTATATGTGGCCGCGCGTGATTTGACCAACGTGGAATATGACATACAATTAGATAAAGGCTTTGCACCTTGGCTCTATTAGCTCATGAGATACTGGTCCCGGATTGTGTCCGATGCTCGTTATCAGTGTGACCCTTGGTTTAAGGTATAGGAACGTGGTCACTTGTCTGTGATATTTCCAATAACATATAACGTCAAAACATATCTGTACAATTTTGTCCATTTTGTCCATTGTGATATACACAACGAACTTAGTTAAGCACCCCCTGACATATATTACGATTGAATGAGGACCGATTTTAACCCTTTGGAGCATATCTGGGACATGGTTGGTCGTCGTGTGTAACAAAGGGATCATCCTGTACAGGACCTGGCCCAACTGGAAGCCGCTTTACACGAGGAATGACGTAGACTGCCCCTTGAGAGGATTAGGAGGCGCACAGGGGGTATGAGGAGGAGAATGCTGGCTGTCATACATTCACATGGAGGTTACACTCGGTATTGACCTTAAATCGTGTAAAACAAGTAAAATGACATTTCGAATGTTCACATTCACCAATAAATTCAACATTAAACATTCCAGGGCCATACTTGTAAAGACATGTTTTTTGTATGAAAGTCAGTGTTGTTGTTTGTTAAATGAGCAATTATCTTCATAAACATCAACATGGATTCCAATCATATTGTCAGTTTTTACGAGTCAAAGGATCATACGAGTCAGAAAAACTCATGTTTTTCCATCGTGGAAACCAAGAGAAGTTTTATGTACGTGTTGAAAACCTATCATTGCAAAATACAGGGGGTGCTTAATTAGCATTATTTTCTTAATTTTCATTAAGTGTTCTCCCGTCACACTGAAGACCCGGTTCCATTCCCCACATGGGTACAATGTGTGAAGCCCATTTCTGGTGTCCCCCGCCGTGATTTTGTTGCAATATTGCTAAATGCGGCGTAAAATCAAAACTCACTCACTCACTCACTCTTGAGATGGTGAAGTGATATTTTATTCCATGAGAGTGACTCACTAACTCACTCTTTGTGTATACTTATACCGATGGGCAGGCCTGTCGCAGTCTCATTACAGTCAGGTGACAGTTCTCCCTACTAATTATATATACAGTTTAATTAGATAGGCTCTGTCGCTGAACCATTACTTAAATGACAACAGGTGGGCCATGGCTCACTGAGTATGGACTATTCATTCGCTGCAATGTAGTTATTGAAATGTTTAATATCATGAAAAATGTCGAACATAACAATAAATAAATTCTCATTATTCCGGTTATATTAATCCATTTAGTATTTATTAACTGCAAACTTTTAACTTCATGGCAATTTACCGTATTCTAACAACCAGGAAAGTGCTATTATTCAGTTATGATGAATCGGTGACCAAACCGGGTCGCCATGGTTACAATATGATTACGCAGCATAAAACATCAGCTGCTGAGTGAGTGAGTGAGTTTTACGCCGCTTTTAGCAATATTCCAGCAATATCACGGCGGGGGACACCATTAGTGGGCTTCACACATCGTACCCTTGTGGTGAATCGGACTCGGGTCTTCTGCGTGACGAGCGAATGCTTAACCACTAG